GTTTGGGGGAGCTCACTAAGCTTCGTGCTTATAGTTTCAGTTTTGGTTTCAAGTACATCCGCAAGTAAAGGGAAGAGCTCGGGATGATGGCACCGCACACACCACAGTTTCGGTTGTTGTCCTGGGAGTTGATTTAGCTTTTCATAGATATGATTTGATACAGTTTTCTCGTGATACTTTGTTAAGGTTTTGGGATATTGATGTATGGGTTTTTATTTTATGGTATTGATCCAATGATTTTAGTAATGATTTAACAAAAAAATTTGGGTCATATTTTTGGATGTTACAGGAAGGCTAAGACTCTTTCTATCGGTGGTCGTATTACGCTGGTGAAGTCTGTATTGGGTTCTTTGGGGAGCTATATGATGTCCATTTTCCTTACTCCCCTCTCAGTCTTGAAGGAGTTAGAAAGATTGAGGGCGAGATTTTTTTGGAGTGTAGATGGGGACGAACGCCGGGTGCATTGGATTAGGTAGGATAGAGTTTTGTCTTCAAAGGATGAAGGAGGATTAGGTATCATAAGTTTTTTCTCTTTTAATAGGGCTATGATTTTTCATTGGTGGTGGAGGTTCTATTAGAGCCCTGATCTTTTGTGGGTTAGAGTGATAAAAGATATTTATGGGTCGGATGGTGCTTGTAGGAATGTGATATCTCCTACTAGTGGGATTGGACCTTGGGTTGAGGTTATTCATATGTTTTCCCAGTTGAGACAGAAAGATATTGACCTTCATTCTCTTTGCCCTGTTAGAGTTGGAAATGGGATACTTACATCTTTTTGGCATGATGTGTGGAGGGGTGATATGCCTCTGTCTTCTATCTTTCCTAGAGTATATCTTCTAGACTTGCATAAACATGTTTCTATTAGTGAAAGGTTATCCGTGGGTTTGGGGTTTAATACTTTCAGACGTAATCCTAGAGGAGGTGTGGAGCAGGAGCAATGGGATAGTTTTACTTTACTTTTGCAGGATTTTCGTCTCTAATTAGCTCCAGATAGATTGGGCTGGGTGCTTGATACTTCGGATATTTATTAAGTTTCTTTAGCAAGGAGATATTTGGATGGTATTATGCTCTTCACTGGTTATCCTGTTACTCATTGGAATAATTAGATTCCAATTAAGATTAATATTCTTATTTGGAGGATTAAACTTTTTACTATCCCTACTAGAGAGCGTTTATCTCAAAGGGGTATTTTGGTTGATTCCATTCTTTGTCCCATTTGTTCTTCTAGGGTGGAGACTATTGATCATATTTTTGTAGAGTGCCTTGGTTTGATTATCTTATGGTCTCGTATTGCTATTTGGTGGGGTGCCAATCTTCCTTCTCAGATTACTGTGGAGTCTCTTATCCAGCGTCTTGTCCTTGGAGAATTGGTCAACGGAAAGCTTTTGATCCAGTGATTTTAATTTCATTTTGGTGCATTTGGAATTTCAGAAATACTACGATTTTTGGAGAGGTTATTCCCAGGAAATCTTTGATTTTTAATGATGTTTTCAAGTCTTTTCATTGGATTTCGAATAGGTGTACAAAAGCCAAGCTTAGTTGGTCGTCTTAGCTTCATAATTCTATTTCAACTACTATTTTGATATAATTATTTTTCTAGCTCATTGCTAGTTTTTTAATAAATTTCTACCGTTCAAAAAAAAAAAAAAAAAAGACCGTATTCCCTCAACAATACTACAAAATGGAATGAACATCAAAAAATGAAAAAAAAAAAAAAAAAAACTAATCTTTATGACATTTGTAGACAGCATAATCATTCATCAAGACCAAAAAAAAAACATATGATCCATAATAGTGTTTAATCGTCTAATATTTGTTCAAGTTTTTGGTACTTTATGAATGATTATTAAGGATGTTTGATTATGTAAGATCTATTAAAATTATTATTATTATTTGTAACCGTTAATATTTATGTTAGTCAATTTATGCTATTAAGGTATGTGGTAAATATTGTTTTTTTTTGTAAAATAATAAATTATAACTTTTTAGAAATATGACATTTGATATAAATAACTCAATAACTTTATTAAAAATACACTTAGCTATGGACAAAATCTTGTTTTTTTCAATCTTTTAATTAGTCGCAACTTTTTTTTTTTTTTTTTTTATATATATATGAAATATAGAATTTTTACATTATGCTGAATGGTATTGTATGAAATCTATAATCTCTAAATATTATTAAAAGAGAACTCTTAATTCATCAATGAAGTAATCAGGGTCCTTGATTGTGTTTTAATACTTTGTTTTCCGCCATTAGATCAAATTGCTGATATTATCTTCCCAAAATAAAATTCAAACACAATTACATTTAATTATAGAATCTTTAAATTCAGCAATTATTTTATCAATTGAAACATATCATTTTATTTATATATATGATATCCGTTTCTCTAATTAATATTGTTTATAATTTAAACCCATTTATATTTTATTTTTTATTTATTTATTTTTAAAAATCTCATTAAACAAGCATATCAATAATTAAGTTATTAACCTATAAAATATAATCTAATCCCATTAAATCAACAAACTATTTACGAGCCAAAATTAAATTCAATATTATATATAATTTATCTCCCAGTATATCTCATATAAAATGAATCAATTTGAGATGATTGTTTGAATTTTAAAACCGATTAAATAAGAAAGTTAATTAATTTGAAGTTTTTAATTAATATAGTTGATATCTTTTTTTTTTCCAGATGAATAAACGAAAATCTCCAAGCTGATATCTTAAGATCCCAATTTTTTAGAAGATAATGATTTCCTTATTCAAAACAACTTATATATACTATTACATTGAAATGATTATTCTTACGATTTTAGATTGAGTCCTATGATTTACAGTGTTCTTCTTGAGCAATCTTCTTCTCCAGTTCTTTATTCTAAGCTTTTACTATGTTCTTATTATTTGTTATTATTGTGTTCTTGTTGATAGGTCATGAAAAAAATTAATCAATCTACTTTAAGCATATTAATTTCATTCATTTAGTTACAGAAACAAAATTATATCCTTTATATCGATTTTTTAATATGTTGACCTATGTTGGTCATACCTTTTTGACATGATCTTCAAATGTTCTTTTTTATTCATTTTTGTGTATTTGATTTGTTTCTTCAAGAAACATTTTTCTATTAATTTTGATAACAAATTTTTTGAATTAAGCATACCTTTATGATTATAAATTTGTCCATTTTCTATTGTTAAATCAAGTGTAAATGAATTTGAACAATCGTTAAATTTTATATTCTATAATGTAATTTATGCACTAATTAATCAAATAATAGTACATATCCAAGTGGTAGGGTACCTCCAAGACAATAAGCAAAAATATAAATTATATGCAATTTCACAACAATAAGGCAGAACGAGGTGTTAGTGACCATTAAAGATGAAAATGTAATATATAATTTAAGAATAATATATAAAGTGTAAACTGTAGATTTATGATATTTATTTCAATGAAATATATGTTGTTTGATTGTTAGGTTACATATATATATATATATATATATATATATATATATATATATATATATATATATATATATATATAATTTGATTTTGACAAGTATGATCTAAATTTGATAATTGAAGCAGGTAGGAAAGATATGTGCTAACGATTTTGAATTTGTATTACCCTATAGAAACCAATCGTAGCCTCACAGACAATTCCCTTATATCTCAGTAGGTCTTAACATTTCCCAAAATTCCGTTACAATGGATGCACTTCTTGAATCAATCATCTAAACCGAATTTCATTTGTTAGTCGGATGTAGTGATCAAAATGCGAGATTTGTGATAGTTCATTATTATTTATTAGTGTTAACCTTTAGCAAATTATGAAATTAATATTATATTTTAGTTCATAACATGTTTTTTTTGTAATAATTTATTTAATCGGAAGATATGTATATGTGATTGGGTATAGTCTGAAAAATCATATTTTAATTTTTATAAGAAAAAAATATTTTGAAATCGACCAAATTATGATCTCTGAATTTGATATTTATGGTTATGACAATTCACTTTATTTGTAATGTTTATTAAATTTCTTTGCAGAATTTAATGTTGTCGGTATATATAACAACTTATTGTTGTTTTCGGTTTTACAGGGCCAATATGAAAAAAGTCATATGAGCCTCCATGGGGGTTGGTACACCGAACAAAATCAATTCATAAAGTTACTACACAACATGTTTTAATCAAGAAGTCGCATTATCTATACTAATAAATAAAACCTATTTTCTGCCATATGTCATGTTCTCATTGATTTGGACACATGACATTTTAATAGATTTTTAAAATTTACTTATTTCCACATGTAATTTTATGATTTGTTCACATATCACAACTTATTTCGGTTACAATATTGAGAGAAAATAAATGCTTCTTGAAAAAGAATTGATATATTTATAATGTAATAAATGTCATAATTAATGAGAGCTCTAAAATTGATATTGATATTAAATATTGATTTTAAATTTAAAGTTTAAATATTGATATTAAATTTTTACTTTTAATAAACTCGTGTAGTAAACGGGTTTCATACCTAATGTTGTGATAAAGTAAAGATCGCATAGATCATCTATGTTAAAAATTATTATATTAAAAAATCAAATTGCTCTAATATAAATATTAAATATTTTTATCTAATAAATTTGGTTCAAAAACTCTACAAAATGAATCTAACTAACATTTTTTTTTATTAAAATTCAACCTAAGACAAAACCACATATTAATGTGATATCTATTTAACTTATGTTCCCGCGTTAAATGCGGGTCATAATTTAATATAATCTTCTAAAATAAAATAAATAAAGAATTATGTATAAAATGTAAATTAGTTTAATGTTATGGTATATTAAAATAAAAAAGTTTATATAAGAATGAAATACAGATACTTTTGAAGTTAAAGATTAAGAAAATATATTATTTACACATTAAAAAAAGATATCACCATATTTTCATAACTAAATTAAAACTATTATGAATAGGTAAATAAATTTTAAAAAGATTTTGGGTGGGTATGAAACTCGATTTTATCGTGTCACCTTTATTGTTCCCCAAATCCCCACTTTTACAAGAAGGTTCTCACCCTCACTGCAGCCATCGTCATCACCATCGGCCACTGATGCTTGAAAGAGGTATCCCATCTGCTAAAATTCGAAGTTTTGTGTACATCTTTAAGTTTTAGGATTCTCCTTTACTCTTACAACTTTAGTTTCTTTACAAGTTTTTCCATGGTTGAAATGTTAAAATTATGTATCGATTACAACTTGTAATGCACACTGTACTAGTGATTAGAAGAATTACATCTCTTTGTGGTTCTATATCTCTCATTTACTGCTTTACTCTCTGTTGATCAGATTTTCAATCACATATGATTGTAGCGCGTAAAAATGTCGTTTCACTCTGTCGTTTTCAATTGTTAGGGTTTTGTTAATTTCATGTTTATGGGTTTATCAATTCGATTTTAAGTATTGCAGATATGTTGTTATCAACCACAAAAAATGAACCATCCCACTATATGTTAAAGATCGAGTACTTCTCTATTCTTTCTGAAGCTGGAAATATCAAAATTGAATCTGATGTTTTTGAAGCTAGTGGTCATAAATGGTAATGTCAGTTTAACTTCCTTGTAGAAATGAATGTAGTTTTTGTCATTTTTATCACACGTTACATGAATTACAACGATTAAAACTTTGTAGGAGACTGGATTTGTATCCAAATGGAAATAAGGAGGAAAAGGGTGACAATCACATTTCTTTGTATTTGATTATATGCGACACTGAAAGTCTTGAAAAGGGGTGGAAAGTCCATGTTGATGTCAACTTTTTTGTTTATGATCATATAGCTCACAACTATGTTATCTTTCAAGGTAAAGTTTTATTTCCTCTATGTTACTAAGCGTAAATACCAAAAAAGTCGAAAGTTTTACATATGAAGTTGGCGAAAAACCTAGCTTTTTTTTTTTGTTGGTAAAAACCATAAGTTTTCAGATGAATGGTTTTCTGAAAACTTATGGTTTTTACCGAAACAAAAAGTTAGAGCTTTCGCCAACAAAACGTGTAAAACTTGAAACTTTTTTTTGTGTAAAGTATATAAAAAGTCTCAAGTTTTATATGCTTTGTTGGCAAAAGCCATAACTTTTTGTTTTGGTAAAAACCGTAAGTTTTCGGAAAACCTTTCATTTATAGAAATGAAAGGTCGTCCGTAAAAACTTATGGTTTTTACGTTTTACCAACAAAAAAAGTTAGGGCTTTTGCCAACTAAGCGTAGAAAACTTGGACTTTTTTGGTATTTTATACAAAAAAGTCTCATGTTTTACACGTTTTGTTGGCAAAAGCCCTAACCTTTTGTTTTGGTAAAAACCATAAGTTTTCAGAAAACCTTTCATCCGAAAACTTATGGTTTTTATCAACAAAAAAAAAAAAGTTAGGTTTTTCGCGAACTTCATGTGTAAAACTTTCGACTTTTTTAGTATTTGCTCATGTTACTAATTACTTTCTATTACAAAATATAAGCCATTTTGTTGTGTCAATAGATGATGAAGGAAATAGGACAAGGTTTCATGAGAAGCAGATGAAATGGGGTTTTGAGAAACTAATATCTTTGGAGCATTTTAAGGATAGTAACAAAGGGTACATTTTCAACGATTCATGTGTGTTTGGAGCTGAGGTTTTTTCAGTTCCAGAGTATACCTTGAAAGACAGATGCTTATCCATGATAAAGCCTCCAGCAACTATGAACACTTACACTTGGATTGTTGATAATTTTTCTTCTATAAAAGACGATTGCTTGCATTCTGAGGTGTTCAAAGTTGGAAAAATCAAGTGGCGTTTATCACTCTTTCCAAAAGGACAAGGTGCAGGATTAGGGACTAATTTGTCATGTTTTTTAAAGGTACATGAGGCTAAGTCGTTTCCTAATGATTGGAAAGTTTATGCAAGATTTGAACTTCAGATTAAGAACAAAAGTGGTTATGCTGCAAAAGGTAAAATACTTGATTATCATGTTGATTATTTAATGTAACTATGAGTTCTTGATGTATTTCTATAATTTGCTTGTAGACACTGGGCATTGGTTTTGTGAAGATGAAGATGATTGGGGTTTTTCATGTTTCATACTGTTGAGTGAACTTCGTGACATGAGTAAGGGCTTTTTGAAGAATGATACGCTTATTGTTGAAGCAAAGATTTCAGTTGTTGGAATGCTAAAAAATTTCATCTGAAGAATGTTTTTTTTTTTGCCAACATATGTTGATAAACGTAACCTTTTTGTTTAAACCTATGGTTTTTAATGTTTGGGATTATTAATGAATGTGGTGTTCATTGGTTATTGGAAGCTTTTATCTTGTATGTGTCTAGTAAACATTGCGTTATTCATATTGTGATAATGGAAAAATGAAAAATAATTAAAGTTGAAATTTTGTTATATATTTATACTAATAAAAGAATAGTTTTTTTTGTTATGTGTTATCATATTAGACTTCTTAATTAATGTGTTGTTATTTGTCAATTTATTAGTTTTCTATTAGACATTATCATTAATGTGATGCCATTTGTCAATGTATTTATTCTTTATTTTAAATTTTAAATTTTATATTTTATATTATTGTTTTCATTAATTCACAAATAAATAATACTAAAAATTAATTTTATATATTTATTTGAATCAAGGATTATAATTTCATATAAATAATAAAAACATATCTTAATTAATAATTTATTTAAAATAACTGATTAATAATTTTGAGTTTTTACTATAAAAATTTAATTAATTTTATAACCGTAACTTCCACAGATTATAAGCTAGTAATTAATAAGGGGGTGTTTGTTTTGCAGAATGTTTTTTTGAAGGAATGAAATTTGTCCAAAGAATTGGAATCCAAAAGAATTAGAATCTGAATGTACTAGAAATTGAAATGCGTTTGGAGGATAATGAATGTTATCTGTTTTTTAATTTGCTGATTTTACAAAGAAATTAGAAAATAAATTTTATAATATGACAGAAATACCATTTTATATTTTTTTAATAAACAAGACAAAGTTTTATTTAATTACAACATCTTTTATTAAACTATTCTATAAAATATAAATTAAAAAAAATAAATAATATTTCGTTGAACACAATTAAATAATAAAAATATTTTTTAAATTGAAATAAAATTATTATATATCATAATATAAAGCAACAAGTCATTTATCATTTATTATATAATAAATATAAAATACGTAGATGATATTTGTTACCAAAATCTTACATGGGAGGATAATTGTGCAATCCCAAAAAGGAAAATATAATAAAATAAGCAATTGAATATATTGATGCATGGGGAATGAATTGAAAAATCTTTTATATAGGAAATTATAAAGTAATTATGGAAATTATATTCGATTCATTTTGTAAACAAAACACATTTTGTATTGGATTTTAGTTTAAATACCAAAATACACTATGTGCATTGCACATGCGATTGTCTCGCAGAATGGATGAAACGTGTGGATAGAGACCAGTGTTGAATTAGAAACCAAACATAAGGACTTCCTTGCTAAAATACCAAAAGTAAGGACCAATATTGCAACGTTTAGTAAAGCTTAGGGACAACTTTGTAAATTACTCTAAATAAAATTTTCGAACTTAACCATTATTTGTATTTAACTGCAAGTCGTTATCACATCAAGTCAACGACTCTGTTTCCCCAGCACACAGACATCGGAGATAATGACGGCGTCGGTAGTAGTCGCATTGAAGACGCTGTTCAGCCTATTGGCTTGTGTGATGTTCGCCACGCTTCTTTGGGCAATCGCCATTGATGGCCTCGCGTCTTGCGTAGACCTTCGTGCAAGGTAAGTTACAAGCTTAAATTACAGATTTGTGTATCGAGATTACTGGTTGAAGTTTGAGGGCCTGTTTTTCCTTGTGTTTCGATTGAAAACAAATGTGAAGTGTTTCATCTAATCATCTGTATTTTGAGCAGATGGAATTTCCGAAATCATAGTTTTCGATTGCTAAATTTTACTCATCACATCATAGTTTATATCGATTGCTCTATCTGTTCCGAAATTAATCCAATTGTCAGGGATAAAGTTTTTGAAACGAAAGTTGCATCAATTGTAATTTACAAAGAATAATTTTCGATTGATCGATGCTTGGATCCATAAATCGTTCAAATTTGATGAGTTTATTGTGAAATGTATGTTAAAGAGTTTGAAGATTGAAGTAAATTAGGGATGATTTTTACCCATAATCGAATACAAAACAATTTCCTACTTAATTGCAGGTGGTTGTTTGTGGCGTACATAAACTTTTTCATAAATGTTGCTTTTATAGGGGTAAGAAATTCATATCAAGGAATTTAATCATTTATGCTTATCTTGATTACTTGTTGAATTCATTGTGATTTTTTTTACTTGTATTCTTTAGGTTTGGTTTGTTTACAAGGAATCAAGCTGGATGAGGGCAATTGTTTTGATACTTTTAGAAATTTTGTTCGGAAGGTAATCTTCTTGCTTTTAAAAATACATTTTGAAATTTGTAAATATCAAAATATATAAAATTGTTTTTCCTTGTGCAGCATTATTACATCTGGATATATCGTTATGCAGTTGTTCAAGTTGTCACATGAAGAATCTTCTAAGGATCCATTATATTTTGTGTTGGTAAAACATGAAAAAAGGTTGGCATTATTTTTCTTACAACTTTTTAGGTTTTAATGAGCTTTACTATGTTTAATTTTTTTGTTATATATAGGGAAAAGTGAATATACCCTTAAGGGTATATAAGCTTAGGTACCCAAACTCACCATGCTATGTTGTTTTGTATCATATGTGTACATTGTAATTGTCTAATGTTCTTATAATTCAACTTCTAACTTGATTTACTTCTAAGATTTTTATAAATTTCACATCTATCTTCCTTTTACATAATTTTCATTTTCAACTCTAATATATATAGCCTAATAGGTGTTCGGCAAAAAGAAGTGATATAAGAGAAAAACAATAGTGAAATTTCAAAAATCTACAAAGTAAATCAAGTTAAGGTTGAAGTTTAATAACATTATAATGAATATATCAAACAAAACAACTAATTATAGTGAGTTTGGGTACCTAAGTTTATATACTCTTAAGGGTATATTCACTTTTCCGATATATATATATATATATATATATATATATATATATATATATATATATATATATATATATATATATATACACAAAAGTTCAACAAATAACCATTTTAAACTATAGAACCAACGAACCATTATTTTTTCAAGTTTTAAATCTTATTATTTATCGATTTTTTTTTTAAATATAGAAATTCATAACTTTTTAACTTCTTTCCATTGATATCAAATTTGATTTTTTTAAAAACTTTTTTATATGTTCACATTCACATTGTGAATTTACACTATAATTTTGTATACAGATTCACAATGTGAATTTAAACAAATTCACAATGTGAATCTGAACAGATCAATTTTTTATTTTTTATTTATTTTTATCAAATTTGATATCAATGGATAAATGATAAAAAGTTATGAATTTCTATATTTTTAGTTTTTTTTTTTGATGAAAAAATTGCTCTAAAGTTGAGAAAAGATTGGTTCCTTGGTTTGAAGGTTTAAAATGGTTCTTTGTTGAATTCAACCCTGTATATATAAAAACAAAACTATTTGTTTTCTAAAATTACTATTGATAATTACTCGCGAAGAATAGTATAGGGCCAAGAAAAGTTTTTGGGGGGTTATGCATGATATATTTATTTCAAATTTATTTAATTTTGATTTAGTATCCTATAAGAAATTTATAAGTTTTAATAAGCATGATTCAGAGACAAGATCAGTGATTGGTTGGATTAGCGTAAAGCGCGCAGATAAGGACGTAAGTTGTGGTGCCGGACCACAATCATCGTCGGTACGATTCCCCTCAACTCACCATTATTAAAACAAGTTTTCTTATAGAATTTTAAAGCAAAATTAATTAAATATGAGTAAATTTTCAGGCATATTATCCAAAAAATATATTCCTGGTAAAAATATCAACAATTAACAAGATAATGATGATAATCAAATAAATTCTATTGAAGAAACCGTTAATAACATAGAATAAAGTTTGAATAATTGGACAATACCTAAAACTAATATTAATACAATATATAGAATAGGAACTTTTGATTATTTTCAAGGTTATTGATTAAAATGACAGAACAAACTTTGTCTACCGGTTAAAAACAACAAATTTACATTTGTTATCATCACGATCTATTCTAGAGCATAGAATGAAATATAAATTTTTTACATGTCGGTTTAGTCCAAATTGCTATCAAGCCTCTATTTAGAATTAGAATAGATGCCCCTGTTCTCCTTATTTTAAGAGACAAGAGACATAAAGATTTTCAAAATTCTATTTTAGCTATGGCTGAAACAAATATTGCTAACAAACCTATTTATTTCAATTGTTATCCAAATTTCTCTGTAGAATTATTTGATCAAAAATATTTTAGATACTTTTGTTTTAACTATAGAAACAAAAATTTTAGAATTTAAAGATGATACAAAGCCTTTAGCAATAATTTATCGTGTTTGTTACAAAACTATGACAACTACACTTGAACCAAAAACACGTTTATCAAGTCCTAGAAATGAAACAATTATTTTTGAAGCGAATACTAACCATACCAAAGTTCACACACCAAAAAGATTAAAATGGTCTGATATAACTCAATCATGCAATTGGAACTTACAAAATGTTATTGATCCAAAACCATTAGACTCTTCAAAACAAATCTCAAATATTATTGAATATAATGATGGTTCTGTAGATATAAATTTTTATTCCTTAAATATTTCATCATCCAAATTATCAACTTCTTTTATCCCAGAAACAGACTCTTCAAAATCTTCGTTATTAAAGTCGAGATCTTTAAAACTAAAAATTGTTGACTATACTAATTCTTTTCCCAAACTATTATATCAAGATGATCAAAATAGTGAAAATAGTCTTCCTAGTCCTACTAAATAAGATTTTATTGATGAACTTCAAAATTTTAAACAACAATTATGAGTTCTAAACTACAAATTAATTGTTCACAAAATAATAAGCTTTGGGCTAATATGTTAAAAAGGCATTGGAAGATAAATTCTAATATACACAAAACCATTCAACATTTAGAAGAAACTAGAACTCATAAAAATTATAATTTATACAAAATACCTCCATATACTAATAAATATAATAAACAAATAGAAAAAATTTATAGGCTAAAGATAGGAATAAAAAAATACGAAAAATCAAGAAGTCATAATTTAGAATCAATAAAACATATTTCTTCAATCCTAACAATCTGTTAAAATGAATTTCTCGAATTTAGAATATCAAGTTGATTTTGATTACT